AAAAAAAAAAAAAAAACACCACTTCAGAATATAAATTCCTCGCAATTTCGCCACCATCCGATTCTCCTGCATCAGTGGTCGGACGATGTCCCGCAGATGTCCGAAAGGCAGAGGTTGACATTGGGTGGCCATGACCCGACCCGACCCGACCGTACCCAGCCATACCAGACAGTTCTGGACGGGTGCAGGTATGGCATGATTAGTATGCACCGGTGTCAGAGGGCACGGTGTCCCGGCCCTCCATTGTGTACCAGTTCCCCGCTCAGTGCCAGTCCCTTGCCGCGACAGACTGATCCCTAGGCTCATCTCGTGCTGTTTACGTCTGGTGCCTGGATTATCCTCGGCGCGGACCAGCCCCGGTAGTGTAGCCCTCAGCAAAAGGGTGCGCCACAGGGCTTTCCATTGGTCCACGCAGGCTCGGCGCCCTGCTGTACAGCAGAGCACAACCGGCCTGTGGCCGTGGTAGCCGCCAGGTTCGCCCTGGGACGCGGAGGTGAGAGGACTGGTGCAGTCTTTTCTACTGCGCGCCGAGTGACCTTCTGCCAAGTTATGGGTTAGGTGCAATCGCTGTCGAAAAGGGGAGAATAAGATGTCAGATCAAAACTCGTTTTCCTATGTATGGGGAAATTTGGTGGCCTCAGGCCGCTGTGATGCTATGGTTCCCTTTCCAATTTTGAATTGCCGTCATTATTATTATTATTATTATTATTGTTATTATTATTGTTATTATTATTAAATTTCCAATTTTCGGTTTTCCGCCTGTCGATCTGTCATTTCGTAGGATAAGGGGCCGTCGAATCGGGTTTTCGGACCGTATCTGTGATCTTATGGTTTGGATTTTACTGACCCTTGTATATCGCCTGCGCCAGACCTGTTCTTCCGAGCCTCGCGGCGAGACCCCGGTGGCCAGGTTAAGGGGGCAGATACAGAAAGGACTGAAGAGAGAAAAATAAGAAAAGGGGGAAAGAGAGGGAAAAGATTGGAAGTCAGGCTTTAGATTTATGTGTGGACTCGTATTGCCTATCGGGCAAGGCTGCTGCGCGGCGGAATTTCAAAACGCC